GGAGTGCCCCCAGGCTCCTGGCCTTGGCCAGTGTAGGCTTCTGCCTGTCTTGGCCACCCGAGCACTGAACGTCAATTCAGTTGATGGGTTCAATTTACACAGCTTAGAAAAACCTGCGAAGTCTGAATTGATTTTTGCCTTGGGCTTTTTGGGCCTCTGTAAATAGCCCAAAAGTTAATTCCATCAAAGCTATGCATGTGTGTGTACTTGTGGAAGTAGGGAAATGTGATGGTATTAAAAGGGATATACCCAGAATATAAACTTAGCTTTGGCTAGAGAGCCACTTTGCTACGTTTACTATGAAAAGAACATGTAATTTTGGAGACAAAAAAGTTCTTAGATTGTAAAATGAACATGCACGTTGGATTGACCAGCACTTAATGTTTGATTCGCTTAGCAAATGTTCTTTGAGCGATACATCTGTAGTCTGCTCTTAATCACTGCTGCTTCTGGCTTCTGAGCAGAATTGAGTATGACTGGCAAACTGGAGAAACGCAATGCTGCGAGAGAAGCTCATGATCCTAAGGAGTTATCTACACACCTCTGTTGGACCACCATAAAGAAGCACTGTCTTCCCACTTGCTTCTGCTCAGTCTGTCCTAATCTTAGAAATGTAGTATTATAAAAGGTTTAGTGTGGCTGTGGATTTGTGCATTTGAGACACAGGAACTGGGCAGTGGCTATGGGCACATGGTTATGACTACTCTAAATGGACTCCACTGCCTATTTCTGGCATTTGGTGTGTTCTGACTGGGGATGAATGGGGGAAGTTTGTTTCCCAGCAGCACTCCCAGAAGTACAGATATGCCTTTAGGCTTTCTCGTCTCAAGTGTGCTTCTTGGTGTGAGCTTAAGGCTACTCTAAGACAGCTGCACTAACTCATTTCTGGGATTTCATGTGAATTGACCAGGAGCCTGTGTGTGCTTCTCAGTGGCTGTCCCAGATGTGGCAGGGAAACAGTGTAGGTAGGGCCTAACAGGTGTTGAATATTGAAGCTGATGGAAGTAGATGTTATTTTAGCATTCCCTAGGGCTAGGCCATTGATGGCTAGCTTAGAATAGGCTTGACAGGATTTGATTTTTATCTATAAACATAGATTTCACCTGTCATTCACAGACTGAAGGAAAACTATTTCCATCAGTAATCACTGAAAGAAATAGAAAAGAGATGTAAAAAAATAACAACCTGGAACGGTGGTAGGGAAATCTAGGGCAAGGGGTACTGTGTATGCAGGAGCACACACACGTGCATGCACAGGTGTACGCATGCATATGTGGGGAGGGGAGATTCCTCCTCCCACCCATACATGGGGGCTAGGCCAGGCATGAGCTCTGGGGACATGGGGAGAGGTAGCAGCCATCCAGCCTGGGGTAGGAAGTAGCTGCTTGCAGCTCCATAGGGGGCTGGCCCCACCTGGCAGGCATTAGTGGAGGGGCAGCCTGGCTCTTTGACCACATCCTCCTACTCCTCTGAGTAGCACAAAAGCAGTGGCTGGGCCCTGGCACCACCATGATATGCCCTGGCTCAAGCATGTAGGAGCTGGGTTGGGCAGGAGCTCTAGGAACTTAGAGAGAGGCAGCACGTTCAGGGCAGGGTGTGCACGGCTTAGGGTGGCCACTGATGCATCCTCAGAATACAGGACAGCCCCTTGATGAGGGGCTGCCTCCCTCAGCCAATCAGG